ACACACACACACACACACACACACACACGACACGTTACTCTGCGCTGCTCAAAACTCCGCATTTGAACAGTCAATAGCAAATACTTAAACTAATAACAAAACATACTTACAGTCGCTGATTCAGAAGCACCAGATTGTCATAGCAAAGTCGGAATTTACCCTCTTTTTTTTTTTTTTTTTTGAAATAGCCTTTGTGCACAGCCAGCCTTGTACTCTTCTAGGTTCAAAAAACTGTCGTCCATAAAATGCGTTGCACAAATTCGAACATCTGGGTTGTGCTGTTCTGTTGTAAATAAATCTTAACCAATGATTCCTAATTGCATCTACTTCCGGAAGGCCAAATAAAGTGCTTTTGCTTTACTATAATTGAATACATATATATTTAATATAAATTGCTTACAAAATTACTATAAAAATAAAAGCTAATTCTCAATATTAATAGATACTGTAGTAATATATAAATGTTGTTAAAATTACACTGCAAACAACATCATAATCATCCAGTAGAGCAGTGGTTCTCAACCGAGGCCCCCACTGTCCACAACAATATTCAATATTCAAAGACCCCATGACTTTTTCAGCTGATTTACTACATAAAGGTTAACAACTTTTTTAAAATGTTTTTTTATATTTCCACATGATAAAATAATTTAGAGCTAAGCATAACTGAAATGTGTAATCAATATAAAAATTTAATGGAGTTGAGATAATTATTATTATTAATTTTTTTAACTCGTATGACTTTTCCAGTTCTAAAAATCCCACTTTTAAAATTAGGCTACCTTTGCTCATATATTCAGGTTTGTCAACACACTGGGAGCCCTGATTCTTCAAAGAAATAAACACAATTGTTGAATTAATTAAAATAATATCTCTACATTTAGTTGTTTTGGCTTATTTTATTTAAGTTTTCTGAAACCTGCTAGTGGGTTCCAGCCACCTGGTTGAGAACCGCTGTCCCAGAGGTCACTCAGTCTTGTAAATATGTGGTACCTGTGATTCCTTCTAGCTTAGCCAAGGTCAGTCCCAAAGCATTAGGCCTGTGGGGGCTACGGGTGGAGTACACCCCCACCCTCTGGCCATTCAGACGGGGTGGCTTTACTTTGGCTTTGTAGTTCATTTGCCCATTCTTATGGAAGAGGAAAATGATCCTGAGAATGTGAAAGAAAAAGACAAAAGAGTTCACTTCACACATATGTATAAGGAACTTTCAATTGTCATTAATTAGGCCTGCTCACTTGTCAGACCTGTCTAGAAACATTACCAGGTATCCATTAAATGTACTTCTTGTAATGGCTAAACCCATTCTTATTTGATTTCCCAATCTAATAAGCAACAGTCCCAAATGCTAAATTGCTATTTATCTCAATTAAACAAGTCTCACTATTGTCTTAACTCTGACGTTTTCCAGGACTTGTGAACATTATGCTTTTCTACTAGGGTTGCAATTGTACAAGATTTTCATGGTATGGCAACTAAGAACATATCATGGTTTGACAGTATACAACATTAACATAGTTCTAAGAACTACGTACATAAAAGTTACAATGACTTTTGCCAATGCTTTTTGACTGAACATTATAAATGGGGGGAAAAAATAAGAGCAAAAAAGGTAGGCTACATAACCTTCAAAAATGTGATCTCTGCCGTCACAGTTTCAGTCAAGTCAGGAATTTTGTGAGAAGGAGAAAGATTTTCCAATGCAGATTTCAAAACAGGTTCAAGTTGGTCATGTAAATTCGCCACGGCGACCAACAGGAAGCTGCTTGGTTTAAAAGTTACTTCTGTTTGAACTGTGCTTTACACATTGTTAAATTATTGACAATGGATCAAAATTTTTATATATATATATATATAGGACTGTTATTATTTTGTTCCTGAGACCAAATTATTTTATCAGCAAGTATTTCTTGAGTTCTGTATGTGGTGAAAGTTGACAAATCTGACAGGAAGTCAAGGAGGAAAAGAGATGTGCAGCACATGCAAATGAGTTTCTCCATCCATTTGCTACATACCAGATATGGGAGTATTGTTCCAGGCCAACTAAAGAATGCTCAGGGTTATTGAAGACTGAGGGTTCAATCTTCAAGGTGGCCCGAGAAGAACTGCATATGGTGGGTTGTCGTGGAGTGCCATTTTTGACTGCAAAACATGAGCTGATGTATCCAATCGGTACCGTCTGAATACGTCCTGAGATCGTAAAGACAGACAAATACAGTTTATTTGACATTAAAACTAAGCTGTGACCAAGAGGTCCTAGTTAGACTAGTTAACATGGCAACGATAACATCTGGACTCAAAGAGGGGCTTTTTCTTCACTGACAGCCATTTAGTTTATACATTCAAAGAGTTTTCTCAATTGATGACAAGGTACACAACATTTACAACAACCTAAATGTGGTCTACTAAAGTAGACTGCAGAATCAAGTGAAAGTGGGTCAATATGTGGTATTAAATGTATTTTACCTTGCTCTAATAATAGTTTGATTTCACTAGGGCTTTTGCTCACTGATTGTAATTTGTCTTCGTGTTTACAGTCTGTCAGCATGGACTGAAGTGATGACATCTGCTTCTTATGTGCTCGTATGGCTCCATCCATCTGCTGTCTGTGTTTGATCAACAAACCAATCAACGAATGGAGGAAACTTCTTTTCAGGATAATCATAACTCATATACCGCAATCATGATGATTTAAGTACCTACCTGAGATTTTTTATCTCTCTTCTCATTACTGGCGCCTGCTGTGTGAGTTTTCTGACTTGTTCAGCACAACTACATACTGGATGCGACATTTTAGTGATAGCTGAAAACCTTATATACTTTCGAAAATATTTTAAGCTATGGTAAACTGGCTTGTTTGTTCCATCAGCTGCTCTGCGCCCACTGCAGTACGAGCACGTGTTTTGTTTTTGGGAGGAACACGCTGGACAACCAACTACTTTCACATAAGAATAACTCTTCTTCTTTCCACAGTTTAACGGCGGTTGGCATCCAGGTTATTGATGCATTACCGCCCCCTTCTGCTCCGGAGTGTGGGTCAGATAATAGGTTATCTATTCCCTTTTCCTACTAAAACGTACACATCACTCACATTGTCCCCTCACATTAATATCCACACACACACATCACATCCTACTTAAAACCTCTGCTTCCCTTAAAAAATGTATCAATATTCTACTATGTGCCCTATTTGCTGTGCTTAGTAACCCTTGTAATGTGATCTCCTGCATCCCAAACTCCCTTAGTTTATTCTTCATTACCTGCCTCTGTGTTTCATATCTCTTACAAGTCATGATTATGTGCTCCACTGACTCCTCTTCTCGACATCCCTCACACAACCCTGTCTCGTGCTTCCCTATCATCTTTAGTGTTTTATTCAGTGAACAATGTCCCAACCTTAACCTAGTCATCACCGCATCTTCTCTCCTATTTCCAATTTCCACCCTTTCCTCTTTAACATTTCTCTGAATTTGATATAATACCTCCCTTTCTCACCTCTCTTGCCACCTTTGATTGATTTTCTCCCATATTATGCATTTAACCTCTGCTTTACTCACATTAACCTGCATTTCTATGTTCTCTTTTGTTAGTGCCCTTTTAGCCAGCCTGCCCTGTCTCATTACCCCTAATCCCAACATGTGCTGGGACCCACATAAATCTAACCTGATATCCCTTATGAACTATTCTTGTGTTTAATTGAAGCACTTCATATCTTGGCGAGTTTTTGAACGGAATGACCTTAAACTCGCTAAAACGGCTAAAGAGTCAGAGCAAATCAAAACCTTTCCCTGCCCTTCCCTTTCCACCCATTGCAAAGCAATTAAAAATACCATAATCTCTACTGTATATACCCCTAATTTATTAGATGTTCTTTGACTAATTTCTATTTATTTTCCCGGAATTGCCACCCCAAACCCTGTTTTTGCTGTCTCTGTTTTTTAGCACCATCTGTATAAATTTGTATAAATTCACTATAATTACCTCCTACTCGGTTGTTAAATACATTTTTCCAGAATAACACTTCTTCTTTAGGTTACTGGAAAATAGAGCACCGCACTGCAGTGACATACCGCCACCCACTGTTTACTGTGCAAACAACACAGGCCATATTATATATATTGTAAAAAACAACAACTTATATAGTATTTTGTTTTTATTTCACACATATTTCTTTAAAAAAAAATGGTTGAGCAATTTTGGTAATTTAAATAATGATTAAGGTGTGCATTTTAAGGTGCAAGGAAAATATTTTAGTACTTCACACTTTTTAAATATTAATTTAGTCAATACAATTCACTGTTGTCATATTAGAACATCAATTTTAGCTCTACTAAAATAAACCTGCGTATGTTTGTTTGTTTTATCACTCTCTGAGGCCACATTTACATCATATGTTCAGCTTTGAAATGCTAATTGGATGGTTTTGTAAAAACGCCTGTTCATCTCACATTATCTGCGAACATGCCTTGAAGTACATCTTCTTGTTTTACTGGACTGGATAAATCAATAGTAAAAGTATATATATTAAGGTACCATATGTGAATGTGTTGATAATATTATATTTTGAACTTGTCGTGTCAATGTTGTAATTTGATTTTACAACACTGTTATGCCTGTGAACCTTGCAGATTACATGGATGAATAGAAACACACTGTTTTTGATTATTCACAAGTTTTAAATGTCTTTAAATGTCACTGCAGACACTGTAGGATAGTGAAGGCTACACCAACACACTTTGCAGCAAGTGACAAGGACTGCAAGGACTGCCTTTGGGACTTTCATAACTGAACATGGTTATGAACAGAGCTAAACAGAAAATTCCAAAGTTTTTATTCAGGTCATCAGATTTTGTAAGCACAATATAAATTAAATAAATATTAAAATGTTTAAATGTTTTTATGATAAATGTTTTTTTCATTCAAATATGACGTCTGATTACTACTGTGTGATTATTAGTGTTTAAACAACTGTTTAGGGAACTACAAGCAGTACACTCTGCAAAGTCTTGGATGTTCTCTACATTTGTTCAGACAGTAAATAAAATCACTTAAATTCTGCTACCCAAAAGGCCCAACGTTGCAATATTACAACATTTCCCTAAAAACTTACTTACAGTTGGTACTAAATGGCAAAATGGCAAAACCCCTATTTCTGCATTAGAGGCCTCCTACAACAACATGGAAAAGTTTTTTTCTATATTTGGGTCTTCGAGAGTAAATACTGATCGGTGCAGGTGGCAGTTTACAGAACACAGCTTGCGTCTTGTAAATAATAATTCTATGATGTAAATGGGGGAAAATATTTAATTCACAACAGTTTACTAGGTGGCGCCGTGTACATTAAATGCGAATCACCAATAAACCAGAGAAGAAGAAGGAGAGATGTGTTTCCGGATGTTACGCGGTGGTTTTATCCAATCAGGTGATTGTGCGTTTTATTTTGAACTTGCAAGTGGCGGTTAAGCCGACATCGCTTGTTCTTACAGTATTCAGGTACGGATTAAAATAAACAGTGAAGTTCAGAAAAGCGCCTATGAGACGTAAAGGTAAGGATTAAAGAAGGAACACACTTTAATATAAATTAAATCATTAATAATGTTTTGGGTTTGGCGATGCCGTTGTTCAATTTACTCTCAATAAGTCTCAATGAATAAAGACTGTGTTTTAGAACTTATCACGTCGCATAACGTTACCAGTCTAAACAATATTTAAGCAACATTTGCTATGTGTCTGTGATGTCTAAAATGTCGTGAAGACAGGCAGCTGGCTGGGCGTTGAGACACCAACAAAGTTGACATTTCTTGAGAGGATGCAAGCAGTGACTTTTATGTCTTACAGTTATGTTATATTTTCGAAGATATTAAACAGCAAAACTACGTACATTTTTACTTTCTGTGGAGAAGTGGACCTGATCTCAACAGTTTCTAAGCAGATGTGTGAGAAATGGATATATCATTTTACAAATAACTGTAATGTATTTGAACGCAGGCAGCATTTTGCTTTCTCTTTTTATTAACATATATCGAACTTTTCTTCAACACCTATTTATTATTATGATTAGTGTTGTTTACGTTATATAGAGCCTATTTATGTATTTATCAAAATCTTTTTGAAAATGAAAGCAACATTACAGTTGAAAGATGCTGATTTATACATGATGTAAAATTATGAAATGTTACCTAATTTTGATGCTTTTTTAAAAAGTGTAACGTTACACGTTAGTTAAAGTTGCATAATATTGCAGTAAATCAAATGTATTTAAAATCACCTCCATTAACTCTTGTTTGTGATTGCAGATATTAATCTAAAAACATGTCATCTGTTCATGGATTGTCAAACGTAAGTACTTCACATCCATGCATATTATAACTAGAAATAAGTGTTGTTCCTACTATCTGACAGTTTGAGCTCTAATCATAAAGGTTTATGCCTTTCTCAGCCCAGATCAGATAGAGTTCCACTCAGAGATGTACAGAATGAACTGCTGAATTTGCAGGACAGTCCAACTCTAATGCTTAAGCATGCATCGATGCATGAGAAGGACCCTAAAACAAAGGTATGGAAACATCACTTTGTCTTTTTAACTTTCTGTGATTTCAAGGTCATATGGAAAATATATACGGAATTTTGCTGTTACTTTGACCTCCGCTGAGATATTTTGTTTTCCACCAGCATGAAGTTGTCCCTGGTGAAAACCCATCAAGCTTAACTATCACAACAGACATCCATAGTGATGGGAAAGCTGTGGATGCCACTGATGAACATCAAGATGTCATATTAAAATCCTTTGTGTGTCTTGAAAGAGAAGTCGTAGTTGAGGATGAACCTGTAATGTCAGAAGAGTCTGTTCTCATCAGGCGTCTGGTTCTTGAGGATAATGACCCACTTCAGAGTGACCCAAATGAAACCATTGAACCTGACAGCACAGAAGATAATCAACCCCCTGAAGAGCATGTTGATCATCCATACTATTATAGGAGCAGATCTACTGGGCTGGATGCTTCATCTATTTTGTGTCAGGAGGAAGAAGTTTCCATCTATGAGCTGGGAAATGTCACATTCAAATCCCTCATGTGCTTAGGTGGAGAGGTTCAGGTTTCCAATAACTCCGCTATCTCTGATAAATCCATTCTCATAAAGGATCTAGCATCAGGAAATCACTCACAATGTAAAAATACTCCCATTTCTAAAGTGGGCACAGAGGCTGTATCAGTAAGCAGTCAACCTCTGGGTCATTCTTACTGTAATTGGAAGTCTTTGTGTGAAGATAGTAGCACCATCAGTACAGTTGATGCAGATGACGCCTCTCAGTCAAATGTTGCACACATTGTAGGTATTCAGTGTACCCCGAAAAATACAGTGAACCTAAAGAATCATGATCAAGCTGATCTCTCTGAAGGATGTCATGGTGTATCTAGTGAAGAAGGAGAAATCACTTTTAAAGGCTTGTGTTGTTCTGGAGTTGAAATAGAAATTGCTGATCTATCCAACGTGTCAAAAATGTCTGTGCTTATGGACAATCTTGCTGAAGAACAAAGTCCGTCTTGTTTAAATGACACCAGTGAAAATGATGGCCAAAGCTTTGCTTATTTGACACCAGGAAGGAAGCATGTTGACCATATTTACTGCCATGCTAAGGAAAAGCCACTGGTCCTAAATATGTTGACTACTGAAAATGGGGTCTGTTCCAAGTCACAGCTTTTCTCACCAAGTCTTTTGAAAAAGCCTGGAAATACAGTTGGAGGTTTAACATCACCTCTTGGAAACAATACACAGAAAATGTATGAATCTGTCTTATGCTGTGAAACAGAAGCATCAAAGATAGTTGCTAACCAGAAGTCAAACCAACATTTGTCAGTATTAAATGGTAAAAATAATATAGAAAGTTCGGATGTTGTACAATTAAGCAACAGTGATGAAAAATACAAGGTGCCCAAGGATGAATCTTCTGTCATG